CGCTATAGTTCCCCCTGTTCTGTTGATGAGCATTATGTTCCCCCCTTGAAATCAATAATTCTCCACTCTTGTCTACCCCAACTGTTTGAGTTTTTTATAGTAATCTAAGTTTCAGTTAAAAATATGTCCTCCCTGGATAAAAGGTGCATCCTCATTCATTCCCTGCCTTAATCAGTTTTGTTTGTTTGCTCCCTTGTTTTTCGCTCACACAACTATTTTTTCATTTCGAGCCAAGAGCTCTGTTAGAGCTCCTGTAGTAAGTACATCCAGTGGAAGATGGAGAGTCATCCACTGAATTCGTACAGTGACTTCTCATAAAAGATATTTTGGGTTCAGGCTCTTCAGTTTTTAACAAATATACTTCTTTCGCATGACTCTGGATTCTGTGGGGAATTCTAATTCTCTGTCACTCACTTTGAACTGAAACAGCAAGGTAAGTAGTTTGCTTTGTGAAACCAGTAGTTTAATGCCTGATCTTCGACTCACAGATCAGCACTATCAGTATTCATGGCAGAAGAGAAAAGAATCGCTATCAGGTTTATAATCCCTGTTACTCCATACTGATAGGAGTTACTCCTTTGGAGCTTACGTTTGCGTTTTCACTGAGCAGCAGATTGAAACCACTTCAGGAACAGCAGTAATACTAGTATTCATTGTAGCAAGATGCCTTACCCAATTAGGAAAACCTTCAGTCTTTCCTCCTTAAATCAGCCTTCCTCTTATTTTAGAATGCGGTAGAAAGATTGTGTTATTAATTACATTTTACCAAATGAACTTCACTTAAAGCTTAATTAAAAATGTGGAAGCTGAATTATGCTAATGTAGTCTTGTAAACACAGCAGAATTAGGAGTTGTGTGTGAGTAGCTGGTCACAGAATTGAAAAGATCTATCCCCATTGTTTTTTTAAGAATATTTGAGGAATTTGTACATTGGATTTGGTACAGCTCTGTCTATACGACAATGGCCATGCAGTGTTGTCATTTCTAATTCTGTAGCCACTTAGACCCATTTTATCCTCAGAGCTGATATTCCTAAATTGGGAGCAATTATCTTGCTGGCTGAGACACCCGAGAAAACAAGGAAAGAAATGGGTTCTTACCTCTTATCAAACGTGTTCATCTTTAATTCTCCCCATTTTCTGTTGTCAGGTGCTTGCACATCTCTCTCCCATGGCTAGCTACACTCTGTGAACACAGCATTAGAGGATGGTTGGAATTGCCAAGTGCGATTAAAAGGTCATGTCTGAATTACAGCAAAAATCCAATAGGCCATCCATAGTAAAGCTGAGGAATTTTTCATATGTCAGTTAAAATATATGTTTTGTCTCATTGTCAGAGATGGAATGAATGAGAGAGAGCGCATTAAATCCAGACAGCCGCAGAATGGCCATCAGGTGGCTCTGGATCTCAGCAGTATCATGAACAGAGGTTTAATTCAGACATATTTTCATACCCCAGACTCCTAGTCCCGATTACCTGTATCAGTAAGAATGCAATTTTTCTGGTGCAGGACTAGCTATTATTTTTTATGTTCATGAAAGTACACTTAGAGCATTATCTATACACCTTGCTCATAATAAGTAACTGGCAAGCTTTTTATGCTCTATTGATAGAGCTTCATATTTAAAACAGATTGCACAGATGTGGTGTTTTTATCTACAGTGTTACTAACCCAGAAGAAACGCTGAACGTTAAGCCTGCTAAACCTTCCCTGGCAATCACAAACCCCTAATTTGGAGATCATAAAACCCCTGTGGCAAAACATCTGCCATCTGCTGGCCAAGGAGAAAAGTACTTGTGAAGCACTGATTTGGCGCTGGATAGGGCACTCCAGCCTATCATCTCCAGCAATAGGAGAAACTGGTAGTTTTACAGAGCTCTTCAGCAGCAGATCTGAAACAGGCCTCGTCAGTAGTTTTCTGACAGCATATTTTTCCATCAGAAAGTGCTGTTTTGTTATAATTAAAACTTTCTGGGGGAACATGTCAATGAGAAATTGAAATGTTCCTTTCTAAAAATATCAGAACATTCTGTTTCAAAATTTTTAGACTGGAACACTTCGCTTTTTATTCCAGAATGATTTTTTAAAAGTAATTATTTTGGTACATTATAAAAACAAGAAGTCAAAATTGAAATTGTCGTCTTTGTATTAAACATTAATGAAACCTCACATCATCACTATAGCACGTGGGTAAATTCAAGGCAGTCAAGAATCTAGGGGTCTTGGCTTTTATTACCCTGCTCTGACCACTCAGTCTATGTCTCACTACTTGTGGTCATGTACGTATGCTCTGTAGGGAGAATATGTCAAGAGTGTGACTATCTTTTCATTCAGATGAGGGAGATTGGAGATGGGAAGAAAACTTTGGTTTTCTCATCTTTGCATCTTTATTTCTTTTATTGTAATTTTGCATGAATTACTTAAATTGCTACAGTAATTTAAAGAAAAAATGTTTTGAGCTTATATTCCTTTTAATAATACAGCATACACAAAGAGTTCCCAGTTATAGCCAAAATCATACCAGTGAATATTCAGAAAAAAGAAAAGAAGCAGACAACTAAAGATAACTCTCAAGGCTTTTCTTTGCCTAGCTTTGTAAGTTTAGTACTTGTCATGTGCTAAAAAGAAAAGATAGACTTTGCGTTTGTCCTGCCAGGAAAGGAATCAAAGAAAATATGCAGGATTTGATTAGTGATACATCCAGACTTATTATTTTATATCTTTCCTTAAAATGGGGCTCCAGCTGAGTTGTACGATTTCTTAAAGATTGGTAACTTTGTTTTCAGAAAGAAAGGAAGTACAGTGGTTCTGATTATATATCACCAGTCATGACAGATAATTATCTTTCTTTCTTTCTTTCTTTCTTTCTTTCTTTCTTTCTTTCTTTCTTTCTTTCTTTCTTTCTTTCTTTCTTTCTTTCTTTCTTTCTTTCTTTCTTTCTTTCTTTCTTTCTTTCTTTCTTTCTTTCTATCTAATATGTGCCTATATGGCAGCCAATTACACTGTGTTAAAAAAAATGTTTAGATGCACATAACCAGGCTCTATACTCACAGGGACAGTTTCTAATTTTGGACTTCGTGACTTTTAAAATATCATTTTAATGTAGCTTTTAATGCAATTAGAAAAAATGAAGAAAAAGAAATTGCACATGCAAAATCATAGCGATTGTCCCTCAACATGGATTTTCAGAAGGGCTGAGTTCTTTTCCTCACAGTGCGGTTATCTACCGTGTGAGCTGGGGAAGTAACTGAACACAGAAGGTTGTTCACCTCTGTGTTCAGTGTGTCCAGGCACTGGGGAGGGGAGGTGTGCCTACGCTTTCAGGGAATGTTTAGATTCAGAAGTATGAGTTCAGTTCTGTGGTTTGTAGGGGACTGTCCTGTCATGGTTGGAGAGACCCTCCTGCACAGGTCTTTTGCTTTTTGTTTTTGCTCTTGCCTCCCCTCTCCAGTTCCTGCCCTTTTTTGCTCCTTGGCCATGCTACCTTCACCCACTTCTCCATCCCCTTCATTCTGTTTCCGTTTTTGCCACTAAGTTGCCGTTTTCTTTTGTTCTTTTCACCCGTCCATATCGTTCCACCCTGCCTCTGTCCTTTCCATTTCTGTGTCTTCTGAGCTTTCCTTGTAGCTGTCTTCTCTTTCAAGATCTTCCTGGGCCTTTTCTGCCAAGACCTCCTGATCCTGTTGATCCACCTGTTTCGCATTCTCTAAGTAGTCTTCATCTATCTAGTTCTTCCTCACCAGTGAGGTGATGGCAACAGAAGCATAGTACACAAAAGAAGGACACATTCCCAGCTGTTGAGTATATAGTCTTGATGCCACAGCAATCCCAGCAGTTGGGATGAACAATTTCAGAGAATACCCTTTCTCTCTCTGCAGCTGTGTTGGGGAATACTTATACTGTGGTTTCAAGCACCGTAGTCTTTTACAACAAAATCGGTGAAGTGTTACCATTTGTAGCACCTTACCCGTTCAATAACCTTTTACGGGACTGAGTGGTGGTTCAAACTGGTGAACTGATCTGGCATTAAAGTATTTATTTATTGCTGGGTGTTTTTTCAGCTGAAGAGGTTATTGGATCCATACAGGGGGAAAACACATATTAATTTGCCAGAAATATTTGGTGCTTTTTAGCTAATGTATACCACCAAAAACTCAACCTTTCGAAGATACCCAGAATAGAAAATTCAGTCTGGTCTCTAAGTCATGCACAACCTAATAATGGAAGAAGGCAGACAAATTTTAGGTAACTCAAGTGTTTGTAATTTTGTCATCTGATCTGTAATATTTGTGCACCTCTGCCACATGAAAATCTGTCAATCATAGTGCCTCTACTGTGTAGTTAACATAATACGCATAGAGAATAATAAAGCTGCTTTATTTAGGATTCTCTTAGCTGTTCCTTTTATCTTATTCAACAGAACAACCTGCTAGTAATAGACTGGTGGTAATATTAATTTGTTAAAGAAATTGACAGGTAAAACATGTTCCTTTATTTTATTTTGTTCTCTAAATGATTCACTCCGGTAAATTAGATAAATATTATTTCAGATATCGAAGAAAGGCATCCTTGCTCTATATTGGCTTGCTTTTGTCTAACCAATATTTGGTTGAGATTCTTCTTGTAATCTGTGAAATTCTTTGTGCCATTGTTTTAAACATAATACAGTGAGATTTGATGCAGTGATTCACTTTGTGCTTATAGCAACTTAAGGCAGATGAGATACAATTTTAACTTCTGCAGCAGAAGGCTATTGATTTGCCTGGTCCCTTTACTAGACTTGTTCTGAATCATTGGTGCCATTGCCTGATTTACATCTTTGCAAATACATGCAAATACAGAGTATTGTCATATGATCTTAGGTCCCCAGAACTGCTGGTGACCTACTTGAGTATCTTAGCTAACAGAATAGGAGCTTTTGCCTCTTCACATTTTATACATTTCAAAAAGCAGTATTTTTCTACGTGTAACTTCTGAAAAGGATCCTACAACGTTTGAATTATAGTAAAGCATCTGAGAGATCAAGGTCTTTGGTTTGGGGATGTGTTGAGTTTTCTGTTGCTGGATTGATGTTTTCTACTGCGGAAGGCAAGAGATCCTCATTTGTGAATTCTCTGGGAAAGCTAGAGGGAGCCGGAAGGTCTGTAATTCGTTTCCACGGTTTTCCAGGACATCTGGGGAGCGGAGATTCTGGGCGGTCTGGCAACCCATTAAACAAAAAAGTATCGGGAAGAATTAATGATTCTGCAGGTGTACTGATTTCCCTTCTTGCAACCCCTGGATTAACTAGCTCTGATACTGTTTCAGCACTGGATGATAGGAGGGTTTCATTTTGATTAAAAACCCTTTCACTGGACTCCTCAGAAGATTTGGGGTTTGGATGTTTATGTTTACAATTTTTACAATGGTGTTTTTTATCCCCACACCCATGGCCAGTTCTGTGCCCACAACCAATTTCATGCCTATGCCTTTTGTCAGACTCATGATCCTTTTTATGTCCGTGCCTGTGTTTATGCCCATGTTTATGCCTGTGTTTATGCTCAGGTTCACCTTCACCTTCTCGTTCCTGTCCACCATCTTTTCTCGTTTCTTTCTCAGGTCTTTGCCTTTCTTCTTCATTTTTATCAGAGTGTGAAATTTTATTTGGCTGGTCTAACACAGCAAAGCTTCGGAAAGGTGTGAATCCAGGAGGCCTTCTTAGAAATGTAACCTAAAAAGCATTGCAATAATAGCCATATGAACATAAATAATAGCCATACATGAACAAGAACAATAGCTTCAGATCTGGGAAATTGAGTTGGCTCATTGCAGTACATGAGTCATTTAGCAAAAATCTGTTATTGGATTTTTGAAGTAAACTAAATAATTATCTTTTCTGTCTGTGATAAGCATGGAAACATGAACATCCTCCCAAATAACTCCAGAGTATTTTAGCAGTTATATGTTAAAAGAACAATTTATATATCGCTGAAATTCTGCCATTTTAACATGGGAATGATACTATAGAGAGGAAAATGTGTACTGGTTTTAATTTATGAACAATACAGTTCATTTCTAGGACTAAGTGTCCCTGTGCTTGTTAGAGTATAACACTCTGATATATAAAACCAATTTATGCTAAAGGCTAACACATCTCTGGGTAGTCTCAATATCAGAGTATACAAAGGATCTGGATCATTTTGTTATATGAAATGTAACTATTCAATTTTTTGTTTCTAGATTTGACATATGCATTTCATAAGACCGCTTAGAAATGACAGGCATAGGTTAAAGCTGATAATATGAAGCATTCAGTTGTTATTGAGTAATCTCTATTTCCCCATCACTGTTCAACTGAAAGACAAAGACTGAATGCATGGTGTACAGTCACTATCCAACATGGGTTTCATTTCTGTCCACCAAAGTGTCTGATCATTGTCTAGCTGCAAATCAGAGTTTTTTTGGGATGGAGCTAAATTTGAAAGTTGGTGTGGATACAATATTGTAGTGAAAACAAAGAGGAAAAATATTTACTAGTTGATACATAATGAATGAATAGGTAGTTATGAAGGTGCTGAGCACAGTGAAGTTATTGATTATGAATGCAAGTTAATCAATCCCACTTTACTCAGTGTATCTTCTCTTCTTCATTGGGGAGCATGGGAGTCCCCTCATTTATTAAAAAACCTGCAATCATCAGAACTAAAAAAGTTCTGATAATAAAAATTTATATTCCATTCTGAAATTTTCAGACTGACCCATGTTCAGGGCTAGTTAATTGTGGAGCTGGGCAGGAAGGAAAATGAAAGATCTTCCTGCAGAGATTGATGACTTGTGGCAGGAGATCTGCTACTCTACTAATATGAAAAGATTTGCAGATGCTTTTGAAATCTGTGGGATATAATTATTGCATTGCCAAATACTTTTTTGTCTCAATTTTTAAACCTAGTATGAATAGTAATTCAAAGGAGCTGATGGGGCTTGATACTTCGGAGCTTAACTGATCATGCAAAGGAGCAGTCGACAGGCAGAATGTTCTCTCTGTCCTGTTGCCTTTGTATTTCTGTAATCACTGTGTCGTCCACTGTCTCACCTTGTGGTGAAACTGACTTCGATGTAACAAGTTGCTGAGGTTAGAGGGTGAGAGGAAGGAGTGTGGTGTTACTGAGGCTGTTAGAAGAACCGTGTTTTCCTTTATTTTTGGTACGAAATATAGGATAATTTGGAATGGATAAAGAATTTAATGACTGCCTTTGTTCTATGCTCTACTTATGATGATGGGTAATGAAGAGGAATCATACCATTGACCGTTCTTTAGAGCAGTTAACCTGGGAAGAGATTTTATTCTCCCATGGGATCACATGAATTCGTGCTTCACATGGCAATGGTGCCTGTTGACAAAACAAAAATCAACACGTTAATGCAACAAAACATCAGACACAAAGGAAAAGAGTTGTGCATGAAAAAAATTATTATTTTTTTAGTAATACTTTTAAATACAAATATACTTGGAACTTTACCCAAATATCTATGAAATCCATCTTAGTGATGGAGACTTCTGTATTGGGACACATCATTGCTTAGCTTTTTGAGGTTATAGTATGCCTGTGTGAACACTTTAATTCAACTTTCGATTGGAGAGTGGATCTTGAAAAATTGGATTTTTCATCTGCAGCACTTTTGGAGCACTAACTGTTTAATCTTCATGATATTCCTAAGAAATACTGTTTGTTGATGGTATTTCTCCTACTAAAAATTGGGAAATTGAGATAGAGAGAAAGGCATTTTTTTCTATTTCGTGCCTGCTACACTAACAGATTTTAAAATCTCACAGCTGTTCATGTGGTGGGAAAAGAGAGAGGAAATAAAGCCTCTCTTTCCCAACCAGCTTCCTTGCCAATGGTTTCTGGCCCTATCAGCATTACTTTCCAGTGTCTGGAACACATTTTCCCGGTATCAGCAGCATGCACTCCAGAAACATCATTCACTTGCACACCAGTAACACTCCAATCTCATGTTCTCCTTAGCTGCAAGTCCACAGAGTCAGAAGTATTGCAGCTATTTCATTTTGCAGCAGCCTCCTCCCCTCCTTTCTTTGATTCATTATTATCAGAAGAAAGTTCCTTTCGCTTTGCAGTGAGCACTGATCCTGCAACTGCAGCTGGAGTGACTCAGTTTAAGCTTCATGTTTTACTAACATTGACACTGGCTTGGGTTACAAGCAGTGAAAGGTGTCTTTCTTGTTGAAACAAAAGTTTACTGAAAGAGGTAACAGAACTCAGGATGTGATTTTACTTAAGGGTTTACAATTTCTGGTGCAAATGAATTTGTCCATTAGGAACATTACAGTTGGCAACATCATCATTACTTACACTGTCTGATGTGGCTTCACAGTCTTCACTAAGTTTTTCAAACTCTCTCTTTGAGCAGTTTGTCTTCCAGACCACAAATAATAAACGGTAGTTTTGTCCTGCAACCACCTGAAAAATTAGCAACAAGGCTTTCTGTGGTAAAGGCATTTTATTGAAAAGGGTTCACAGGAAAGATGTTTTTCTACAAGCTTATACTACTTATATTCTACAAGTCCTGACCACTGGGACAACATATGTTAAGGACAATATTAAAATATCTGGCAGCAAACCTATCTGCTTCTAATCAACTTACTTATTTACTCCAGTTCCCATTCTCAAAAATTCCAGCATTGAAATTGAAGGAAACAGAAAGGTAAGAATAATATCAGGCCCACAGTTTTGGCTTTGCTTTATTGGATGCCTGCAGTAATTTCATTAATAACAAATGAAATCATTAGAGATACCACTGTAGAGAGCCAAATATGATATAAGAAAAGTGGAATGTGAGTAAAATGAAGTGTGTGATGAACAGGCTCAGTTGAAAATGAACATATTTGCCAAATGCATTAAGGAGAGAAACTTGCATGGGTTCAAGGATGTGCCTGGGATGAGTTCTCTTAGCATTTTTTACAGAGCCCAAGATAATGTATCTTGCTTCAGAGACAGCGGGCAAAACATGAAATTCTGTCTCTTTTAAGTCTATTTTAGAAACATATGCATGCTAATATCAATCTTGATATGAAAAGTGAGAAAGAAGAAAAAAGTTTAAAAGAAGAAAAAGCACAGATATTATTAGTAAGATAACATGAGCTATTCAGAAAAACTCTGGTGTGCTTTTAGTGCCTTCTCCAGTGGTACCCCTCATGCTCGGGAGAAGTTGTTGACAAAGTATTTTCTGAACTACTCCACTGTCTTATTTTAAGTTCTGTCCTAAACCTCTGTTTTGATATGTTGGGACAGTAAACAAGGCAAATGCAAATGCTGACCAATATTATCCTCTTGATTCCTTGTTCCTCTTTATCCAGCTGTATTTATCTGTGTATCTTAAGTTATGCACAGATGTTCTCTTCTGAATCTAGCTGGAGTATTATTAGCAGCAGAATCAGTGTACAAATTAACAGATTTCTAAGGGAAATTGGGAAGCCCCATTTCTTGGAGCTTACAGCTGCTGTAGGGTGGACAGTGCCTAAAATAACATACAGAGTATTGGTGTGGTGGATCAAGTGGGTAGTTTTGTCTAATAAATTTTTTCTACTTTAAGAGTTTAAGGTATGTTACAAAGGCTGGTAAAAAGTGGGGTAGCTGTACAGAAATCAGACACCCTAAGTCAACCTTCTTCCCATGTTTTTAAAATCATTTTGTTTTAAGAAAAAACAAATCTAGAGATGGGAGATTTTTAAATCACTTCTGAATGCAAGCCAAGATGGATAAAATTTTGCAAGAAAAATTGCATGGATATTTCAGTTACCACATGTATCAACAGTTAGAGAAAAAAACATTATTTCAAATTTAAATACAAACTTTAGCTAACAGTCAGCTTAGACCAATAACACTGCCATGTCTGTTCCTCATCTCTGTGGTATATCCCAACCTGAACTGTCGCTGCTTCTATTTCTCCACCTTTATAGTAGAAATCATCATCGCTCTCTGAATTATACTTCTCCATAGAAACCTTCAGTAGTTCCTTCAGTTCTGGACTGTCTTTTGGGATAGTCTCCGGACAACCACTGCAAGTGTCAGGATTTACCGTGTCTTCAACTGAAAGAAACCAACAGATTTCAGATCTAAGGAACAAAAGATTCAATGTGGATATAGGCTGGGAAAAACAGTTAGTCTTAAACTCCTGCCTTCTGAAATGCTTCGTATTTGGGTCTATGAAATGAAAGCAAAATATCTTTGAGTTTTATATGACCAACATTATCATATCTTGGTTATCTAAAAGAGCACTGCATCAGCATCTAGTGTGGCATTGGACACCTAACAACAGTTTTCTCATAGCAACAAGAAGTGTGTTTACCAATTGCGGGTAGCTAGCAAATAAAGAGAGGGAACACGTATACATATGGAAGGACCTGAATCAAGTGAAACAAGAGGTGTATGTTATTGGCAATGAATGCGTTGAAGAATATCATTATCTTTTCTTCAAGAAAAACAAGTCTGAATGGGTGAGAATGTAGCACTTACTACATGGTGCAGTACTGTACTCCCTATTCTAAAGCTCTGGAGCTGTGATAATCTGTGTCTAAATAGATGGCTGGAGGAAAAAGTAACAGTACGAAAACCATTTGGGAGTTTGACTGTAATGAACCTATAAACTCTAAGTAATTTATTTACTAGGGGAAGAAATAAGCCTCTAACATATCAAATGTAAGTATAACCATGCAATATGAAAAAAAAAAAGGTAGTATCAATAGGTGAATTACCAATTTTGGACAAAATCTTAAAGTCCTCATCTCCTTTGCCTTTCAAAAGAATACGTTGGAGTGCTTTGGAAAGTTAGAAGTTACTTATTTAAACAACGTGATATTAACTTGCTTATCACTGTAGTGGAAAAGGAATCAATTTTTGTAGGACAGTTATACTCTTTGAGTTTGAATCTGTTAATCTCCAAACGAGAGTCAGCAACCAGCTCCATGTCATGCAAATAGGGCAGTATACAAATGACAAAATGTAACTTTCAGCTGCGTATGAAATACTTGTAGGAAGTGAAAAAAATCTGTGGTAATATTTCATTAAGAGGCAGTGCTTTTTTGGTCCCAGAAGAATTACTTTCTCTTGTTATTATCTGTTTTCATCTCTTGCATTTTTATTTTGTCTTTTTTTAGAACTGTAAAAAAGCATTGAAAATTGCAGAACTTTTAAAATTGATAGTGCCTATTACATACCTGGAAGCTTGCATTGGCTTGCAACATCTACAATCTGTGCGTGAACATTTTCATATGCTTTGGCATCACATTTACCTACACGCTGGAATAAAAACCCAAAACAGCTCCTTATTATTCAGAAATAATGAATAAGCTCACATCCTAATACCTTCCTGCTAACAGAATACGTCAAGCATACTACTAATAATTCCTTCCTTCAATATACTGGGAGCAAGAAGCCTGACAGTCTGCAGAGCCAATAAATGACCAGGGTTCAAAAGGACCACCCAGAGAAAACAAAACCATAAAAGAGAAGCTAAATGAACTATTTGTATGTGTTTGTTACAGAAGGAAATGGGCGGGGAGGTTTACAAGCCAGAATCCTATTTTATGGAGAACTCACTGGAATTTCTGTCTCAAAGTGTAAAGACCAAAAAGAAGATTACACAATTAACAAATCAAACATTACTGAGTTTCTGGTATTTACTCAGGTGTTCTAAAGGAACTGTGGTAGATGACTTGCTTAAAATTGCCTTGATATCTTAGGGCTGGAAGAAAGCAGATATTGATCCTGTTATTTTTTTTAAAAGGTTATAGACCCATAAAACTGATGTCTGTACCATTCAAATTATTAGAAATGGTAATAAGGAAAGAACTAGGAGGCCTGAATACCTCAAGGAGAGACCGGGGTTTTTGTTGTAAACAGAAGCTGTGTTTTGCAGATTTGTCAAAGTTCCTCAAAAGCATCAATGAAAGTGGGTAAAGAGACCTGTTGATAAAGTATACGTAGATTTTCAAAAAGGTTTCAGTGAAGTCCCTTATCAAAGACTCTAGAGAAAACTAATCGACTGTAGAATAAGAAGGAAGATTGTTACAATTCAGGATCAAGATCTTAGGGCTATGACAGATACTTGAAAGTGTCATCCATAAAAAAATCTGCTTAGTAGTGGTTTAGAAAAAATAATAAAAAAATAAGCCTTGACATTATTACCCAGGTTAAAGAGAATGACGTTATGCCCCACTATAGCTCTGTGGTTCCCATGCATGTTGAATACAGTGTGCACTTCTGGTCCTCCCATTTCAGAACGAATGGTACAGAGCTGAATAAAGGTATGGAACAACTTTGATGGACTTTGGTCATTCCAAGGTATAGAATATTCTTGGAATATCATATTCTAATAATATCTGTCGATGATCTATTAGCAAGGCTGCTTAACAGTTCAGCGTATAAGTGATAAAGATCCAATCCCACAAACTCTGCGTGATCAAAGCCGTATGTGAATGAGGTAGCACTCCTGCATCATGGGAGGTTGACAGAAGTCATTACCTCTAGGTGACAGGTTGGGAAACAGACTCAAGCAGATTAAGTAACTTCTTTAAGGTTTAAGGGCAAACGTGGGTAATGGAGGGACTTGCTTCAGCTAGTCTGATTCTCTCTCTCTTATTATTTACCACAGTGTTGTCATTCTTTCCTTTTTTGATCAATGCTTCTGAAACATTCTCGAGACATCCAAGGAGTAATTTTTGAACAGGAGAGGCTCTTGAATCTAACACTCAACAGTGCACCTCCACAACAGCTGAAACAGACGCGAGTCAGGACTCCTGTGGTTCCTCCCCTCCCATTTACCATCACTGTTCATTATGACTCTACGTTCCTGCCCTCTACCTTGTATTTGCAGAAGCATTTGTCTGACGCCATGTTGAGGCTAGTTCAGGGAGGTTGGTTGAGAGAGCAGCCTTCTATTTTTGGTACAGTTAATTCTGTTTCAGGTCAGAGAAGCAGAAGAAGTACCTGGTTTTGCAACACTTTTAGCTAGAGTATGTATGTTTGTTACTAAATTTCTCTTGAAGCGCTCTTATTTGGACTGTGGTAGAGGTTAAGTAATAATTTAGCTATGTACTTTTCTTAGAAAATATGTCTTAAGCTGGAAAAACAGTGCTAATTTTAATTATCGCTTTTTGAGTTGTACCTGAGTAACTCCTTGAATATCTGAATAGGAACTTCTCGAGGGATTTATTATTTGGGTGAGACTGTTTAGATTCTATAGAGTAATCGGTAAACATTTCAGTGGTCATCTTAGTTGCTGATTCAAGAGAAGGCATGGATGTTCTAATTGCATGAATAGACAGTTACCTATAAGCCTGGATTTAAACTTCACTCACAAAGTGAAGCAAGACTATAAATATTTTCTTGAGTCAGGTCTCAATGATTATTTGTTAATATGATATTTTCTTGATAAACAGATTTTGAAGATTACTTACACCTCTAGAAGTGGTTTTGCACTCTGGAGTTAGATCTTGAAATTGGTCTTTTGAGCAATTAGTCTCCTTGATTTCATATTTAATTACGTAATTCCATCCAGCTACCACCTGGAACAGATATTTAGGAGGTACATTATGTAAATGAATACAAACTTGGAAGTTAAACTATTAAACGTGATTAGCAAAGAAAGCAAAACTACTCTTCTAGTGCCTTCCATCCATCAAATCACTGTGCAGCCATTAAGCCATAGAGTATTCATGGAGAGGAAAAAAATTCTTGACTTGTGATACAAAAAGTCAGTCAGTCATGCATATATTAGAACTGCACTTTGTATTTGGATTCTGCTTCTCCTGGCAAGCCTGCAGCCTCATAAGGCTTGGTTTCTTGCACTTTCCTCCAAAGTATCTGTTACTTATTATTCCCAGTAACAGGAAGCTGGTCTAGATAGATGACTATAGTAATACAGCTTGGCAAGTCCTACGTTCCTGAGCGTGGGACATAGTAAAACAGCATCTGAATAATGTAACTTTATACTGCTGGCATAATTTGTTATTGAGTGTCCTGCATTTATCATCTACCTGTAATTGTGTCTGCCTTGGGCTTTACCTTCCCCCACCCACCGTTTTGTCCAGATTTGTGACCCTCTTTTTTCATTTTCTCTCCAGGAAGCAGTTCACTTTTCCTCACTGTGGCTACTGCTTCTCACTCATGAAATCTCTCCATGTCACAGTGTTGGATCAGGTAGCATTGGATTAAAAAGGGGAAATAAGAATCAAATATAGGAACTTTCCATCCCAGATCAATTGAAGTGGAGGGCTCTGACTAGCCTCTGTTGGCTAGAAGTGACGTGGTCGTTCTTTTTCCAGCTGCTGGATTGCAGTCTGTTTGTGACATTTTGTCGTGTGGCTTAAATGTTGTGCAAGCTTGTCTTTCAGCTAAGAGGATCGTTGCCATCAGTAAATAGAATGAGGACAGTCTGAATTAAATCATGGGTCAAATTGACATGAGACCAGAAGATGCTTTTTGGCTAAGTAAATACATACACATTCAAAGTATGTATTTGGTGTTGGGTTGCATACTAGTTGAAAAACAAATAAGAAACTTAACTTTCTAGCAATGTCACACCAATCCATAGGAGAGCCTTTCACAGGGAAATAATTGTTGCATGGAATACCAGATGACACAGAATTTCTGTGACCTGAGCAGTCCTTTCTTGCAAAGCAGATATTCCTGTGCGCAGATATCTTTCAGCAAGTGACATGCTGGCTTTTTGTTGTTCTTACCCATTTTTCCTGTATGGGGTTTACCCGTCCTATAGCGTATAGCAGCTGTTGACATATGGGTCCTATTGCATTGCAAAAACATAGATGCCTGCTGCTGTTTGAGAGGCTGTAGAGTATGAGACATCTGTGCAGGCTGGCAGTTTTGGCACAGAACCTAGGAGAGATCTGCTCCTGCTGGAGCTTCAGGGAGAGGCCAAGCGGAATACCCAAGAGCATCTGAGATGACACAAGATGTCTGTGTCAGCACCGAATGCAAAAAAAACTGGTGCTAAACACTGGTTAGCTGCAACTGCAGATAAAGAAAAAATACATTTACTATCAGTTTGTAAAGTTGACAGCTCTGAAAATCCAGTAGGTAACCGTTATGATTCCTTAAAAGTGAAGAGAATTTTTTACAGGGTCTACACTCTATATGCATTTTGTATGCGTTTATTATTATGAAATGTAAGCCACCTTAAAATAAGAAATGCATATATAAAACAGCCAAGGTACCTGGTTTTGGGGTTTTTTTTGGTAAAATTTAGAGAAAAATCATACACAAACCTGTCTTTTAGCTTCTTTTATTCCCACAAGCTTAAAAAGGGCGCGTTCAGCACTGTGCCTGTTAAACTTTTGAATGGCTTGTTTCAGAATTTCTGACACTTCTGAACTGTCACTTGATATAGGATGGAAGCATCCAAGACATGTAGCCACAGTAAGTGTTATCTTTGGCGTAGCTGGAAAAGAAACAAACCAAAAAAATATAGGGCTTCATGTAAGACAGCCTCAGGTTTTAATTTTTCCTATCTAGGAATGAGAGAAAAGGTTCAATGAGCAAGAACCTTTCTGCTTTTAATTGGAGTGATCAGCTAAATCCACATTTCAGTTTCAGGGCCTGCAAAGACATTCATTGTATTTAGAAACATGCTTTGGTTTGTGGTGGTGGGGGCCATCCATGACATTTGGATCCAGGCATGGTTTCAGCAGCAAACTTCATTCAGAGGAGTGAGTTCAGGAGTCGTTGAATGTCTGAAAAACCTTGCATGTAGTTTTGACACCACTAAGGAAGGGTCATCCCTCATTCAGTCAGGGAAGAAACAGTGGAGGCTACAACTAAGGAGATGTTCTTAAAATTCTTCAAAGCTCACCCACTGTGTACAGCTGCTTACTGTCCTCACCATGTTTCAGGATGGGGACTTTGACAGGCATGTTTTGGCTCACCCAGGTGAACTGCTCTGACTCTGAGCTCCTTAGGGACTGTAGTTGAACTATTCTACTGCTGTGTTGTTTGAACCCCCCGATAGTCACTTTGGCTGCCAGTTACCACTTGGTGTTACCTTCAGGCTTAACCACCTGGACTGACTGTGGATAGACAAGCTTGTCGGGGATGCTCAAACTTCTGTTTCCTACTACTAATCCTATTAACTCTTTTTTCCTTTCTAGTAATCATGGATTGGATTTTCATAAATTAATTTTATAGTTCAGTACATAAATTAATTTCATGATTCAGTGAGCTTGAGAATTAAAGTGGGACAATATGTGGTCTCTGTGGAATTGAAGTAAAATTTGTGTGCCTGATCCTCAGCTGGCATAAACTAGCTTTAATGGAGTTACGCCAGCTTGCACCAGCCAGGAAACCAGTCCAGGCTCGACACGGTCAAACAGTTCCATCCAGAAGGCTGAACAGTATGGTACCTAACATGGTGGGGAAATCCCTCACCAGTTAGGGTCTATTGTTTCACTCTGTTTGAATCCTTTGGATTTGATTTGGCTCCTCTGTACGTTTGGAATATCTCAGTGTAAGCAATACTATTTAGTCTTAGCTCTCCAAGGGGTACTTGAACAAATTCTGGCCCTTCTTATTTCTAGCATCATTTATTTTGACTCAGTAATGACAAATATATACATGTTACAGAATAATGTGACCATGTTTTCAGAGAGTAATCACAAAGGAGAGAATAAAACAACAGTACACCCAGTTCTAAACCGACTATGGTCTCAGCATTTTCAGAAGGGCTGAACAAATGTGTATTCTTTTTTCAGAGTTGCTATAACTTGGTAACGAGATGAGCTTCTTAGGCTGAATACGTGATTCATTTAATTTATGTGTGCTTTTTTAGCTTTCTAAGCAAATACTCAAATGCAAATTTCCCATGCGTTCTCTGTGGGATTCACACACCTTTTACTGGCAACTAGATGTCACCATTGCCCTACAAACACATCTAAACCAAGTGGCGTTTATTCAGTAGCAGAACATGGAGTTTGTGTGTACTGCAGTTCCTAGAAGGACACTGGCTGTAGGTATAGCCATTTAAGCTTTAAACAAGCTAACCAGGAAAAAAAAAAAAACAAAGATAAGCTGTCAAACATCTCAGAAATCACAGTAAATATTTCTGTAGTTAATATGCACTTAGCTCCCTGCTACCAGTTAGATGGATATTTTAAAACTAGCTTGTTATGTCTTACATGAACACTAGGCATAGGCACATAGAGATCTCAGTTGCAAAGCTTTAAAACAATGTGATTTCTTTCTAATAAAGGAAATAATTACTAAGTGAACATAATAGTTATATACGAAAGTCTTATAGGCAAGAAATGTAGTACTGCTTATTGTTAAGGTCTAAAAGATATCAGAGTCTCTCTTAGTAATTACATCACTGCTAAATTTTTATTTTGTAAATTAATTTTTTTGTTGTTCTTTTTTGGTTGGGATAAATATTTGTTTTGGTAAACTTTAACAGAAATAATATAGTCATTTTTAGTTTGGAGAAAATTGAGGTACAATTTTGTCTCATAAAGGTTTTTTCTAATAATTTCTGGCACAATTTTATATTTGAATAAGTAAGGACAGAAAATTAAAGTGTGACAAGTTGTATTTAGTCTCTAAGTTACTGATATGCTTTTGGTCTTAAGCAAATTCATTTTAACTTGGTATAATTCCAGTGTTTGAAGAAACTTAACTACTGGCATGTGCCGGTTTTCATTACCCTAGATAGAAAATGCCAGTGCTTCACTGACTTAGCCTATATGTGTATAACAGTGAAGTGAAATTTTATCTTTAACATGTAGTTGCTTATGAAAGATTATTTATAAATGTCTGAGTAGAATGATAAGGAGCTTCTACCTTTAAAATCACCTGAAAGTCTCAGTATTATATTTTTCCCATTCTTATTTGTCAACGTACTTGTTGAATGCTGCCCCAAACAGTTACATACCTGGAAAAATTTTGCAATCTTGTGAAATGTTACTTGTTTTTTCAGTATTATTCATGTGAACTTGAGCTGTGCATTCTCCTGTTTTCTGCAAAAACATATGACAACATTTGTCTTAAACTTGCTGAAGAAAAATACAGTGCTATATATTTCTCTAGCTATTGAACAAAGTTGACAGTTGCAAATTGAGTTTGGGGAACAAGTTCATATGTACATTTGTAGTAATGTCTGATTTGCTGTTTTGTTACTGGAAAAGGAACGAGTTTGTTGATTGTGAAGAGAGTAGGGGATGAACTGAGCAAATAATCTGAAAGATTGCTTTATGATGGATGCTTATTAATTAACTAAAGAATTTACAGCCAGAATAATGGAAATGAACACATCCTCATAAGTAAAGTCTGTATAAATTGTGTATTTGCCTAATTTCCTTTCTGCTAGTACAGGATATGCAGCAATGATCATGGCATTCCACATTGATTCAAATGATATTATCACCATCATCCCTTTCTTTGCGTTGTGTACTGTGTGAAATAACAGTGACTTCCACTGGAAATGCGCAGTGTTCCCACATGCTATGTGTGCCCCAATTGTACCTCCTCTAGGTGCTCTCTAGTAGCACGAGCCAGACATGCTTTGCATTGCTAAAAGCCCTCTGGTAAATTTTCTGCCATAGTGGCTTCCATGTCAGTATTCTTGTTGGTGCAGATCTGAAGTCAATTTAGTTATGCAAGTTTCCATTATACATAATTAATAGAAAGTTTTACAGCCATCACTCTCACAGTGCATGTATCTTATGTTGAATTTACTGTGAACCTTCATATTGAAGAGCTGAAATGTTCCCTTCTGCACATATTCAGGATTATAATGGTAAACTCACTATTATAATGGTTAACTTTAGAGTTGTAAATATTTCTGTACTGTGCTTTAGTCCTATAAGTGCTCAGAAGCAACACAGCTAAAAAAGTTAAATTCTCTACTGTATTTTTCCCCAGGTGACTGCAGTCCAGGTCATTATGCTGATGTTTCTGTACAGAGAACTTTTAAAGAGGACAGATACTTACAGCCTCTGCAGGTACTTTGTAATCACAGTCTTGCCAGAGTTTGTTTTCCTCAGTGGCACAAGTGGTTTCTTGTATTCGATATTTCACATAGAATTGTGTGTCAGGACCTGCCTGGATAAAAACAATATGCATGTCATCATTTGCATAGTAATAAATCAAGTGAAAAGATAAGAGCTTCAAAAGGTAAATACTATCCATTGGTTACCTTATATTTTATAGTATGGTTTCAGATTAGCTGCTGGTCTCCATGCAAGGTCTCCCAAATCTCGGTAGTTCAATAATTAACTTATCTAATTATATTACTGAGCCCTTACTTACAATTACAATATGTTGCTATAATAGATACGGTATGCTCAACTACCTTCATTTTAACTTGTAGTACCAAGGGTTTTAAAACCAGAAGGAAGTGGTTAGGTTTTATACTCATATTCAAATGTACTCCAAATAAGCAAATTTGGGTTGCTGCTTGGATAGTTAGCATAATTACCAGCTTGGACTGTGCTCCTGTCCAACTCCCTCACACTCACTCTTGGCCTTCTCCCAGATCTGTCTACTTTCCTTCTGTACAACTCTACGGGCAGCCCAGAAACAGCAGCCAGCAACCCTCAGGCAGCCCGGCAGTGCCCAAACTGCCTTTACTCTGTGGTAACAAACAGAGCACTTAAGCCGCCCTGCCTGCTTGGAAAGGGGCGAGGAGGACATATGCTCTGGAGACAGCCTTTGGCGGTGCCTGCAGTTTTCCTATAGGCGTTAAAGGCTGAGCTGCTCATGAGGGTAGCCTCAGGAATCCCGTAAAATGAAATACAGACAAAGTATTAAGCAAAGTTTGGCCTGGCCAGTGGAAGTGTTTCTGATGTTGGTAAATCAGTAGGGGGCATTTTCTCCTTGCAATAAACTGAGTAGTGAGCCTGTGCCTACAGGTAGCATTAACACACTGCAAGAGTTGTAGTTCATCCTTTAGAGGAGATATAAAGCCAGAAGTTACTAATCTTTTACAGCCACTAAAAATGCTCTGCCTATGTGCCTTTTCAAATACAAGCACAGGCAGCTGCTGTACTTCAACACTGGTTATCCTCAAGTGATACTGCTGGGAGAATTAAATGATAATTCTTGCCTTAGTGGTACCAGGAAAGTGAAGCTGAGCTGATGTGGGTGGAATATACTGGATTTACGCTGGTGTAGACACAGAATTATATTCTGTGTTCTCTCAATTCCTGTTGTGTATTGCTACAACTATGAAGAGGTGTAGAGGTACCTGATATAATGGTTGCAGGTTGTAAGACAGAATGAAAGGGTCTCTAAAAATATAATGGACTTAATCCTCAGCAGGTATAAGTTGACATTTATGGAGCTGCATCAGGTTATACTAACTGGGATGTGGACTTAAAAAGAGCCAAGTTCTCTTCTCTGTTACAGTGTTCTAAATCTGCAATAAATCAGCTCAGTGAGTAAACGAAATATGTGAGAAAAGACATTATTTCTTATGTCATTTGTTGTTGGTTTATTTCATTATTATTATGAACAGCTATGCCTTTAACTGGGGCAGGTTCAGTCTTTCACCAGTCAGCTTTTATGTCTTATTACCTTATCAATAATGAATGTACATGAATATGTAATAACCAGCTATTTAATTAATGCATTCAACATTGTGAGAGTAGTGATGAGTAAAGTCTATACTCTTTCTAGAAAAGGAATATCGAATATGAGGAAATCTCTATTGCAGATTCCTTTTCTCTGTTTTTTGCTTAACATCATAGTTAGATCAATGATTCAAAGTAATAATTGATTTCCACCTCAGATCTTTTAAGAAAAGGAAAGGTGGATACCTAGAGAAGGAAAGATGAATAATAATTGCAATAAATATGTATTCTTAAAAATAGAACATTGTTTAAGATAAAATACTGAAACTAGTATCTGTCCTTTGGGAACATCAGCAAAAGGAAGGTGGTGTTACAGCTCTGATATAAAGATGTTTGCATTTGGCTATTGTTAAGGATGTGTGTAGTTCAGTGAAGAGAGTGGGACTATTCATTTGTTTGATGTTAATTGTGTAAGGGGTTTGCCAGATTTTAGTCTTTGTCACTACATGCTAAAATCTCCCCAGTTTGAAAACAGGAAAACTAGACAGTAGGTGCCAGGAGATGTGGGTCGTTTACTGTAGGGCATTTAGCAATTCATGTCCCCTTTCTGAGGTCAATTTCTATCTGGGTAAAATGGTCTTGTGATTTTGGAGTGCAAAATATTCTCTCTTACACTGGGTTTCTTGTGTTTTACATCTGAAAATCCAATCCAGTAGAAAAAAATGCTAATGTTGTTTTCAAGTAAAGTAATGCTTGTCATTATTATGGTAATATCATCTTTGTATGCCTCTCAGAGGTAAATACTCTTTTGTTAGATTAACACTATATAGAAGGACTCCAGGCAAAGGATCATGTTTCATTCTTTTTTTCTTCTGTAATTTTAGCTATCGCCCTATTTGACTGAAATGCCACCTAGTGCTTTTAGATAGATCTGTGACTCAGGACTAGTGTCAATCAAATAATATTCACAAACAATTTATTCAGAGTATTGCCAAATTTTATCAGGTCATTCTTTTTTATGTGTGATACCAGCTCTTCCCAAGTCAAGATAATATTCAGGTTTTTTAGTAAGTGCGTTTTTGCCATTGATCTGAAAACCTTACTGATGATGGAAAGGGGTAGAATTCCCAACAGAGAAAGGAGAAAACAGAGTGGACTAGTAAGACAAATTGTATTAGTGATAGAAATTTTCTATTCTTTAGTCCTTGCATTAATAAGCAGTTCACCAGCACACATAATTCCATTGATAAAAACATAATATACATCCCTGCTAGTCATGGTAACGAGTATATTATTGTGCAAGTAATTTCTTTGATTTTTTAAAATGTTTTTGGAAGACACTTTGCTGTCATGCTTGCTGTCTTATGGACGAGATGGAGATAATCTGATTCAGAGTGCATAAACAATTCCAACATTTTTTTTTTCCAAAGTTTACTTACAGTTCTCTTGGCTTCCATCACCACATATAGAGCAAATTGATTACCAGCTGCTCTGTCTCCATTGTATTTCTTCAGTGCTGTGTCGACAGCTTTAAAGACATCAGGGTCATCACAGTCCAAAAACTCAAATGGAAGAGGGGTGGCTCTGCTAGAGAAAAAACTACAGCAGAGTGCTAGTACAATAAAAGGTTTCATAACTGGACAAAAAAGGCCCCCTGAATTAGAAGGCTCTTTAAAAACCAAATGGAAAAGGAATGCCTGACAGGGTTTTAGTCACCGCTTCTGTTTTTCAGGAGCAATAGCTAAGTAAACAGAATGAGTGGGTTGCTGGGGTTGGTTGGTTCTCGTCATACCCTGTTTATACTGCAAATAAACTTTGAGTTTATCTAAATAAACTTTGTGTGGTCACCAGAATGACACTAAGGTTATCCACCTGCCATCAAGATAACAGGCTAAATGGCTGCAGCTGGAGACAGGTTTAGACTAAGCAGGATGGCCCCTGAGCAAAAAAGAAAGCAGAATGTTTGTAGCTTTCTGGCTTCTTAACATCTAAACTGCTACTGAGAATGAATTTTAGAAGGCTTAAATAAAACACCCAAGAAGGTCACAGTGGCAATGAAGTTCTGGTTCTGGACAACAGCCCTGTAAATTTTATAGATCTGTTTAGTGTTCAGACTGCAATAGTTCTGAGAAGTCAGAACATGTTTGAAAAAAGTCTTTGGACAAATGCATATCATTGAATGTCACATAACTCGTCAATAACACTTGATAAACATTGTCCTTCACGCTACTGTTGGAAGCGTCCATCTTTGCCACCATGTGGAGACTGCCTTTGGACCATGGATTAGTCAGTCTTCATAATGTTTGTTATCATTACAGACAGGGAAAGTGATGCTCAAGAACAAGGGATTAAGTAATGTTGCCTGTCTCTGGCAGAGCCACAGTTAGAGCTGGCAGGGAACATCCAGTGCTTGTCTCCAGTGTTGAGCACCAAATAGCTTTGCTTTGAACCTGTGAACACCTTGGGATTGCCTCAGCTCCAGTGTCCCAGTTGTGTCTTGCTACAAGTTTTGGTTAAAGAAAATGCACTTTAGAGACTTCATGGATAAACTAGGCCAGAAATAAGGTTGTTTGTACATGGTAATGCACTTTACAAAATTAGACAACTTTCACTGTTACACAAAATGCTGTCCCCATTTTGTTTCTTTTTCTTCCATGTAGCCCTCACACTGTATTTTACTTTATGCCATTAAAAGCTACTTTGAGGACCAAATTACTAATTTTTTGAGATTAATCGCATGTTCTTGCTTATGAGATAACTGTTCTGAACTAACTCATTGGGGTCCCAGGTCTGTCTGAATGGACTTTACCTTGATGGGGGCTAGAGTATAAAGAGACATCAGTATTCTTTCTTCCTCCTCCTCCCAGCTCAGTTTCCAGTGAGGAAGGTTCAGTGATAACGAAAACATTTACATGAAAGAGTTATTACATGCATCTGCTTTTCTCCTCCTCTGAGAGCAATTATGAACCATTTGAAAAAGGCTGTCCTTGAAGGCAGTATTTCTGGTATATCACCGCCAGCAACTGTAGCAATGGAAGTACCTGTGCAGGCCACCCTGCAGTGTTACACTACAAGTCATTAACTATTCTCAGACCTTTTCTAGATAATGGTGGTTACCCAACCACCGTTGTCAGTTTATGCTAGAGTACGCCTCATGATGTTTACTGTGCAGCTAAACATCCATAGTAACAAAAAAGACAAAACTTTGACAACAGTGTAAAAAAAAAAAAAAAGCTTACATATTTTTATTTTCTTTGAATCTTTATAAAGCATGAATGTAGTGCCATGGATCATTTTTTATGGAAGGCAGTCAACTTTCCTCTAGGTCAGATTTCCTCAGAGAAGTACATTATAATTATGAATGATGAGAAAATGAAAGATTTTAGATGATAGTTTTCACTATTAGGGAATTTTCCTTTTTGTTAGAACTAAAGGAGCATTGTTTGCTGGGGAGATTTGTACCCATTCACATTATCTGAGGGACTCAGAATTTTGAGCCTTTCAGTCACAGTGGAGTCTGAGATAGCTGGGATCAAGAGGCAGGTTGAAATACTTGTCTTAATCATTATTTTCAGTGCTTCTCCTCCCTAGAAATTGTATGCTTTTTCCCCTTCTCCATGTGCTGTTTTCATTCATTGTACAACTGTCATTGGCCCTGCAACTCTCAAGCCAGGAACATCTTTCTCTGAGGTCATGTAGGAGAATTTTCTGCCATGGAGCTATGTGGAAATAAAGACAAAATTTTTGGAAGAACAAGTTTGGGGTTTCCTGGGCATGACTTTGATTGTGTAGGGTGATCTGGAAAACCTGGAGCTTCTGGCATCTCCTTTAGACTTGAGCCAGTGAAGGGAATACCTTCACCAGTGCTGGAGGAGTGAGGGTTGCTTTGGGATAGCTCAGGAAAGTTTGCAGCGGGAGGTGTGAGAGAATCCTGATGGTTTAGAACTGGAGTGCGATAGACAGCTCCAGTTATTTGGAGCGGAAAGGACTTTCCCGATATGCTTGTCTTATTGCAGTGATGTCTGTAATAGTGATGATAGAGATGAGGAGGGCGTCCTGGAGGAGGAGGAGGATGATGTGGTCCACGATGGGGAGAAGGATGGTGGTGATGTGGTCCATGAGGAGGAAGAGGACAGTGTGGCCTATGATGGGGAGGAGGAGGGTGGTGATGTGGTCCACCATGGGGAGGAGGTGGAGGACAGCAGTGTGGAGGGTGAAGGTGGTGATGTGGTCCACAGTGGGGGGGAGGAGGAGGAGCAGGTCCTTCATGGCTGTCTTGATGTTCTTCGTTGAAACTATGGTTATGCTCAGGGTCTTCAGGTCTGGATTGAGAAGAGGGTGGACATCCATGCCTGTGATGATGCCTGTGATGATGCCTGAGATGATGCCTGTGACCAAAATGATGATGGGGGTGTCTGTGTGGCTGTCCCAGAGTTGAATATCTGCATCTTTGCCCATAGTCATGCTGCTGTTTATAAAAACACCAGTGGAGGAAGTATTAAGTGAGATGTTAATAAGACAGAAGTGGTGAGAAAGAAAGAGAGGTGGGAGTTAGTAGGTTTGCATTTACAGTTCTGATGATCTGTAAGGAAAAAAAAAATGTGTTTTTTTCAAGATAGAAGAGAAGGACTAGATGGTAAAATGCCAAATTACTGAAAATCATCTGGAAATACTACACCATAACAAAATGAAATGATATAACCAATGGAGCAAAATTTGTGATGGATCAAAACAAAATAAAACCCACACTGGAGTAGCTGTTGTAATATAGACTGGAATACCAAATATGATAAAGATCATCTCCCCTCCTCTTGCTTTCTAAAATTCCTTTGAACTTGTTTGCCAATCTCTACTCGCTTTAACTAAGGAGTATGATTGGACTGAGAGAAGACACCTTCGGAGGGAGTAGTAGGGACAGCTCAATTCTAATTCATGCTCTGATTAACCTAGCAGTTGAAAGCCACTCTGTCCTGACATGCTGCATCACACCCAGGCGGCAATAGAGGGACATAAACAGCCGTTGCAATCATCTGTCAGTCTGGACTAAGTGAGGTTGCTGTAGCCTGCATGAGGATATAGCCAGAGACATTTCAGTAAGTGAGTACCTACCCAGGGATGGTAGATTTCACAGCTTATATCTGTTTCATCAGGTTCATCCAGATCACTGATAATTCTTGCCTTGCAGAATCCCACATGCTAAGCAAAAGAAAAGAAAAAAAAAAAATGCACATCTGGGTTCGTGTGATAGAGTTAATAGCAGCTACTGAAAGTTCAACATTTTAAAAGTTAGGCTAGTTCCTTCAATACCTAAGTATGTTTACATAACTTAGCTAGATCCTGAGCTTTCTGACCAGTGATACTTGTCAGTGATTAAAATATATGCCATTTTTTAGTGGTTTTGACTGTGAAGACCACTTTGCCATATGCATCTAGAGCATTACTACTCTCTATCTTACTTCCCTTTTGATGTCTGTAAGAAATTGGTCAGCTACTGATGTCTCCAAAATGTGTACCCTGTGGGTGACTGAGTTTTATTCCTTTTTTTTTGTCTTTGCTTGTCAAACATCTGTTCAGATTGGGCTATTCTGAAGTTTTGCTCAAAGTCCTCGAAAACAGACACTGTGTAGCTATGCTGTTTCAGACAAAGCTCAAGGTAGAGCTTTCTTCCATATTTATTTTTTGAAAAGCAATTTGTTGTAATCTTTTAGCATTACATCCCTTAGCATCCTGTTTGCTGTGACTTTCACCTCCTGTCCAGTCATTGTGTGTGGAATTGCTCATGTGAATGAGCACAGAACTCAGATAAGGGGTTCTGTGTATGCTCTCTGTAGTGGATGCTTTGTCTTGATATATGTTTGGGCCATTAGTAGCCTATTATGATCAATGATTACAAACGTTAGTAGCATTTTACACTCACACACCAGTGGTGGCAGCATTGAGAACAGAATTCAAAACCTCTAGCCGTCTGGCCTGTGCTTCATTCTAGTGAACTTTTGGCTCCGCTACCAGTTCATTCACAACCTTTTCCAGTCTTCTGGAGTATAAAGAGGCAGAGGAGAAAATGGGTGTAGATAAAACAAAAGTTCTACATGTTTTATTTTTTCCATATTTTTATTTCACTCCTTCAATTTCACTTCTGGGGAATAATTTATTCTGAAATTATGATCTTGCCTAGTTGTTTCTTTGGTGTAGACTATTATGTAATGGGAAGGTGGGCTGAGGAGAGTACTTTAATAGTAATCTGCAGACAAGCCTGAATTATTCCGCTGTCCATTCTCCTGCAGTAGAGGAAAAAGAAGTAACCCTGGGCTCACTGGGATGACATAATACATGTATTTTTTTCAAGATCTATGACTCATGTTAGTGTAAAAGTTTTAATGAAAATAGCATGAATGATTTACTAGGGAATGGCCACAATTTGAATGTGAAAACCAGATTCAAACTGAAAAGCTCAGCTCTAGGTCTGTAATATGCTAGACTCCAGTTACATTTAGATTTGAGAGTTCAGATTGGCTCCTCATAGAATAAAAAGGAGCAGCTGTAAAATTAGGATCTGGACTTGGACATGCTGGATTTTTCATTTTGAGTTTGGGTGCATGCTTATAAGAAACACTTGCAAATGTTGTGGGAAGAT